CATTAACCGGCCATAACCTTGAAATATGATGCATTTAACAGTCAGGGACATGGCTTGTTAAAATAAATAAAGTCACTAAATGCTACTGGTTGCACAACACAAATGCATTTGGGTAAATTTGAGTCAGGTGTGGAAAAGCCCAGATGTTTTCCCTGTTATCTGAAATGTGCCTCATAAGCATTGGAGAATCCCTTATGAGGAAGCCAAACTGGCCGCTCAGCTCCTCCAGGCTTCTCTCTTCCAGGAGAAAGTGGTGGGAAAGCATCAGGGCCTGACGGTAAGAGCCCTGATGTGTGTAAAAATACAACCTAGGGATCAGCTAGCAGTCCCACCGGATAATGTTGTAATAAACAGTATGGAGCCGGTGAATTAAATTAAATGTGTACTAGCAAATGTGCCTTCCAAGAATCCATATGCTGGTTAATCTAGATACAATTCAGATGGTGCTGTCATGAACGGCACTATCTTTCGGAAAGAATAATACATGTTAGTTACAGCCTATTACACTGGACATCTCAGAACACCTGAGCATACAAGTACAAGTGCAGGTTCAGTAAGTAAATGTTTTTGTGATGTGGATGAATTGACAATTAAACATAGATTAAACTTGCTATTTGTGTGGCTAATAATGTGAATAATGAAATCTTTAATAAAACTGTCCTTGTGTGATGGACATGCTTTAGCCTGTATCCTGTGGAGGCTAAACTAATGTGCACGTATACACACAAACTGCTGCTACTGAATCATATCAACCCTCAACAAAACATGCAAAAATGTTGAAAAGATACAGGCTCAAGTTCCAAAAGCACGCGTGGGGGAACTGTTTGACACCTTGTTGTGGTGCTCCACATCAAAGCTTGTAATTGAAGACAGAGCACATTCCACCATGACACTGAGCACAAGCTGCCTACTGGCCATGCTTTATCTCTGGACATGAACCGGAACTAAACAATCTCGTCCCTTTGTTAGTTCAGGGATGGTTTCTCTGGAAAGTGAAGGCGTTATCTGTGCAGACTTTGTCCTGCAGAAGAGGTGCTATCAGTCTGGGAAAAGTCTTACAAACAATCTCTAAATAAACACAATGGCTATGGACCAACTTTCACATAAGCATTTAACCAAAGACGTTACATCTGAGAGACTTTTGTGGCTAGCTGTAGTTACTAAGGAATATCAGTGATTTAGGTGGGCGGAGGTATTTAAGCAAACAATCATTCTTACACACGTTTCTACTCTGTAGACTTGTGGGCAATGGGCTGGAGGAAACAAAAAGTGGAGGAATCAAAATATTCCTATATTTTGGCCTTGGTATGGAAAAGCCTCGCCTATTTGGTACTGCTAAGGACTGATGGCCTATTAGCGAACTAAACATACGCTTGGGGGATCGTGACGGGTTTTAGGGCTGAGGGATAAGCAGCTGGTAGACTCACCATGGACGTCTTTCTGGGCGATATTCTGTGTCCGTATGAGTGAAGACAGGCGGCGGACATCTCCTTTAAACACACACTCATGCACCGGGAAGTCCTGCCCCGTTCGGATGATGGGGTTCTTGTTGTTGTCATCGATGACATCGGATGTTGACAGTGTGTTGGTGTTAGCGTTAACCTGCGACTGTAGGTGCTGCTGCTGTGTGGATGAAGACTTGACTAACTTGTGATTGCTGAAGATTTTACTCGCTCTGCTCTTGTTGTTCGTCTTGGAGGCGGTGAACGTCCCGGTTGCAGCCTCTTCGTCCGGTTCCAGTAAATCCTCGTCCTTGCTCGGCCTGTGGTCCTTGCGCTGGGAACGGATCTTCTCTCCGGTCATTTTCTACACAGGGCACGGAGCTCACGATGACCCTCCGGGCGAACTGATGCGATCCGCCAGTTGGAGGTCTTTACTCAGGCACAGTAAACTGCACAACATGAAACACACTTAATCTCTACCGGACGGGCTAAAACGATAGTTTACTCGGACAAGTAGAGGCTACAGTTGACCGGTTTACTATAAAAACAAACACTTCGCTCCCCTCCTATCGTACAAAACTGACGCTGGTAGCTGCACAACATAAGCGCCTCCAGTTGACTAGTACCGAAGATTCGGCTAATGTCTTCCGCCTCGTAGTATCGCGAGAGTTCAGGAAAGGTTACCAACGGTCACTAGCTTATTATACCTAATAATAATACAGCTCTGGAAAAAAATAAGAGACGACTGCAAAATGATCAGTTTCTCTGGTTTTTACTATTAATAGGTAAGTAGAATGATTATTTTTTATTTTATTTTATTCTATAAACTACTGACAATATTTATCTGTGTTGGAATTCATCAGACACAGGAAGGTAGAGATTATTATATTATATTAGGCTATAATTAGTATCTAATTATATACCGTGTATGCTAATTTCCCCACATTACCATATCAGAAATGTAGATAAAGACAGGTTATTATTTAGTTGACATATTATATTTTATATATTAACTCTTTGTATCACTAAATGAATATAAATATTGTGAACGGCCATTAATAAAATACGTTTTTTGGGGGAATCAGGCTATGAGTAGGGGAGACCAGGGGCAGTTGTAAGTAACACGTGACAGTTGTAACGCCTTCAATATCTCCAATCACAAACAAGCTAGAGTGATCAAACTCACTCTGCACATCCGCAGTTAGATGGAAAGATCGCTCTGAAAAAGAGGAGCCACGTTTAAATCTCTCGCGAAAGATAGGCCCTATCAGCAAAAGTGTGTTTCTGTGGTAAAAAAATTACAAAAATGATATGATGTATTTTTTGGATACTGTCTTGAGGTCAAATGTCTAGGAATCCAAACTAGTATTATTAGAATCACTGTTTTGTAAGCTAAAAATATAACTAGCTAAATATGGGTCAAGCTCATGGTCAAGCTAGCAATCAGGCAGATTCACAGGGGGTGAAAACATGACTGGTGGTCCTGGGACGGCTGTAACACGGACCACCTGGGATGGTTGTAACATGGCACATTTACAATGATGGCTCATTTGCTCGAATGATCAATATTGTTGATTGGTGTGCATTGTCCCTGTAAAAATAAACAGAATAAAATACTGTACAGTAAAGTGTGTGCGTGTGTTTACAGTATGCCAAATATCAGAAAGAGCAAGACAGACAGGGGAGTGCCACTTCCTCTGCTGCAGAGGGCCTCAAATGAAGTTCAGGAGGGCAAATCAGTCAGGGCAGTGGCAAAGTCCCAAGATATATGCCATGTCACCCTGTAACGGTTCCATAAAAAGAGGCTGAGGTTGGAGGGTCAGGGATCAAAATCACCCTACTGGACACCCAATAAGGTGTTCACAACAGAGCAAGAGATGCTTTTGAGAGACTACCTGATGGAGGCAGCTGATTTATACTATGGTCTCAGCTCAAAGGAGGTAGGTCTAATTAAGGTAGAATAGGCTGAACAACAGAAAAGTAAGGGATCAAATATATTGAGGCCTATAGTGAACAGAGAAGTGAAATATTTTCCAATGTATATTCATTTTATCTGGTTGCCTTAGAATTTGACAGCTTTCCCTCTTTTTTGTCATGTAGTGTGAAAAAAGGTAACCGTTATTAACATGTTACAACCGTCCATGGCATGTGTTACAACCGTCCCTGTACACTGGGATGGTTGTAACAGTTGAGTTTTTTTTTTAAAATACATTTTCCAACCTGTACTTATTTCATAAACACATCTTACATACATTGTTTCACTAGTTGACACATTGAGAATGTATAATATAGCAAAATGGCTATCCTAGTGTAAATGGTGTTTTACTTATTGGGGAAACCCCAAAAATGTTACAACTGTCCCTGGTCTCCCCTACTTTATAAGAACAAATGATAATCATTATAATTTTAATATATTTTTCAATCAAGATTATAATAAAGATGCAAAAAATATTCATGTTTGAGTCACTTTGAAATTGCAATATCATCAGTGAAAAGTATAGCGTGTTTTGTATTTTAATGCATATCACACACAGACACTTTGTTAGAATACAAATACAATAAAATATTTTTGCTCTATTGAAAACAATATCTTAAAGCAACGATTTGAAATGTTCATGATTTAATTTAAAGTCTTTCCACTTGCCCTTATCAATGTAAGTTAGTCGTTTCATCACCAATAACATCCGAAAGCCAACCTAGTGTAATAGCCTAAAAAAGTCCAAAGTCTTGATTTAGGCTTAGTATATAACATATTAGTAAAAAAGTACTGGATATATTCCACTTTCAGATCCTGTCGGGAAGCAGAGAAAGCGTCTAGTTGAGATTAAAATATTTTTTTCCCAATTCAATGAGTGTTCTTATCTTACTTGTGCATGATTTAAGTAAGTGAGCTTTGGTTTTTATCTTGGTTGTATTTTTCAAGTACACACTGCAGTTTGGACTCATTGACACAGGTCTGGCTCATCCGCGAGGACAGGTTTCAGCAGGCTGAAACAGAACAGACCTCCAGTGCTCCATTGAGTCAGGACAGAGCACTTCCTCCCCCTATGGCTCAAGAATGGAAACACAGCTAAAGGTCTGTTATGTGTGCCATGAGGACACACATGCACAGAACTAAATGTATATGTTAACCAACAAATGTTATAGTGTTGGTTAGAGAGAAATTAACAAGTTGTTGATTCCTTTTAGTTTTGTAAAAAAAACAGGTTCTTAATCTAGATTTAAATTTGGACACTCTTTTCATAGTGGTCTGTCAATTGTTGAAAACATCACCAACAGACATCAAATAAATACAAATAAAACCATATTGAGGTTATTGAACTCATTGAATAAATTAAGTAAATCTGAAACAAAGTTAAATACAAAAGACAACCTGTAGCCCCTCTTACTCAAGCAACAGGAAACGTTGCATCACTACAGCGCACACACAAGCACGCAAACAACGTTCTGCGTCATGTGTGTTGGACGCCCCCGCCGAACCACCAATCAGAGCCTTCCTGCGCTTGTTGATGAGCGTTGATTGGCTCACAGAGACGAGCCGTGCACGTCCACGTTTCCCCGATATACCCCTGTAAGGAACAGTGGTAATGCATAACCAGCCTCATTGCACTGCGGTAGCTTACACATTGAGAGGAGCGCATTGCCATGGATCAAAACCACAAACCAGAAGAGCAGAGCGATTTGTACGCCGGCTTTAGAGAGCCGTACAAATCCTTCGCCACTGATGCTATTCACGTCGGCCAGGAACCGGAGCAATGGAAATCAATGGCTGTAGTGCCTCCGATTTCCCTTTCTACCACATTCAAACAGTTCGGACCAGGAAACCACGCCGTAAGTAGCCCGATATGTCTTGTTCCTCAAGGGGTGACGGTATGTTCCGGTGGTATGCACATGTAGGAAGCAGACCTTATTCAGCCTCATTCACGAGGACTTAAGAGGGCTATAACGGAACATGTTAATTTGTTGTTTTTTAAAAATCAAATCAAATTAAAGTCATGTAACATTATGTCTCTGAAGCTAAATGTAAACTATCATATACATATAGTTATCAGAATATATTTCAAGATATAATCAATATTGACTGAATCACTCTTTTGTCTATGATGGATGGATAGATAGATAAAGTATTTCAATAATTCCAAACTGTACTATTCATCTTGATTGCATGTATTTTCCCTTTAGGCCATGTCTGGGAATCCAGACTAAAACTGGTCTGAGGGTTAAACTCAAGTTACCCACTCACTTCCAAATGCTCCCTGTAGTTAAGGTAGTAAGCTTTTTGCAAACAAGGTTATACTTACTTACTTAACTTTCTCTTGTCAATGATTAAAAAGTAGGTAGTAGTCATGAATTGTTTTACATATTGCCATTCTGGATGTGCCATTGTTATTACTTTCTCACACAAAAAGCACATAAAAAGGCGTTGAGAGCAGAGGTAATTTAGGCTTACTCATGTTTATTTTTTCACACTAAGGTATTAAGGAAGGCATGAGTGCTGTTTAATGTTTCCCAGTTGTAAGGCTAATCTCGAAGCGTATAGAATTAACAGCTACATCGGCCTCCTCAATGAAATTGTCAAACTAAAATAAATACGATACACCGCTTACGCTGATCTTCTGACCTCTCAACCTTGTTTTGTGGACCCTGGTATGTACTCCCACAATATCCTCACTGAGCTCACAATGACTCCATATCACCACGTTTGGAACATATATTTTACCTTTCAAAACAGCAGCTGCTGCTCTTTCAGAAATTGGTTGACTACTCTGACAGCAACAGTTGCATAAAGCTTATCCACTGTTTGCTTTACCACAGCCCCATGTGACTCAACAACATCCAGACTTTATCATACTAACATAGCCAGCTGTCTAACTTTGGGAAAGTAGGGCGGAAAATAACAAATATTTGAATTCCCAATTGAATCTGTTCATTCTTTTCTTGATTCAATGTTGTGTCGATAAAATGTCAGACAAAACATTGTGAAAACATATCAATGTTCCCCAAAGCCTAAGCTGCGACCTCAAATGTCCTGTTTTGTTCACAAGTCAAAGATATTTCAGTTAACTGCCATAGAGGAATACAAAAAAAAAACGGGAAATATTCATATTTTTTAAGCTGGTAGAGAGAATTGACTCAAACAATTACTCAATTCCAAATGATCAAAATAGTTCACGTTTAATTTAGTAGTTGTCAAGTACTAACTCAAATCATTTTTGCAGCTCTGTTGAAAGTGAGTTGTTCTTTTCTCAGTTACCCTGGTGGTTCTCACAGTTTCAGCCTTGTATACACTCCCATCTTATTATTAAAGGATCCAACAATTGTAAGCCCTGGTGCTGGCTGCAGGCGAAGGTGGCAAGCGCAAACACGTTTGGAGGTTACGTTAAACCCTGTGAACCTAGCATTTAGACTTGGTTTAAAGTCAACGAAGATTCTATGATAGGTTGATTCCAGTGTTCTTTTCCTGCTGGGCTAACATGTATTAAAGCACAACTAAGCAGAGGGGTCTTGAATTACCCTTACTTGATTTTCTTCCAAAACACTGCTTTTTGTTGTTTGAAACACAGTGCACTATTACAAATGTTGATTTAGGTTACTAAAATATCTTCTAATCATGTTTTTATGTAGGGCTATGAATACAGCCGGAGTGGGAACCCTTCAAGAGACTGTCTTGAGAAGGCTGTGGCTGCTGTGGATGGAGCAAAGTATTGTAAGTGACGCTATTATAACAGATGCCCACATAATCATGACATGCATATTTTACAAGAAGGAATGATTCAGCAAATTGTTGAATATGACTCAAACATTGATCATTATGTAAGAAATTGATTTTCAGCCTGTGATTCCTCTGACAAAAGAAGGATGTTTGGTCTCACAGACTGTTGTGCTTTTTCCCTGCAGGCATTGCTGTTGCCTCGGGGCTGGCAGCCACAGTCACCATCACTCACATGCTCAAGGTGGGAGATGGCATCCTCTGCATGGACGACGTGTACGGAGGTGAGGCACCACACTGTTACTGATTACTGTGTAGAATAATATGATACAACCATTTCCATATGCCACTAGAAGCCCACCATTTCCTCACACAATAGTTAATAGTGTAAAAGTGGAAGCATATTTTCTCCTGAGTTGGTTTTGAACCACACGTGGAATTTAAACTCTGTTTTATTTTTCAAGGCACAAACCGCTACTTCCAAAAAATTGCTTCTCAAACTGGTACAGAGGTGTCTTTTGCCGACTTTACAAAGCCAGAGCTGCTGAAGGCCGCTCTCAAGCCCAACACCAAAGTAAGTCAAAGAATAATTCATTAATAAAGTGCACTTTGTTTTGTCTCCTTGTAGCTTTCTTTGGTCTCTCTTCAAACTGTTTTTTATCACCCCGTCCTTTTTATAGCTGCTGCTTAAAGGCTTATTTTAATACAATGTCGTATAATTGGGTGTGTCATTTGGTGTTAGCCAATTTCAAAGCAGTCATTGTGAATCAGCACTTTGTGTTATGACAGTTCTAGGTGCAGTAAGTAAGCTGTCTTGCAGATATTTTCCCATAACAGTCATTGCTAGGGCTGTATAATATTGTCTTTTCAATTGTTATTGCTATGAAAAATGTCGCAACAATAAACACATTGTGCGAGATATTACACCCAGGGACTAATTGAATTATTTAAAAGGTAGCATCAGTAGAAAACAGCACTTTAAATGTTATAATCATTATTTTTTATGTGTTTTTTGTATCGGTGTCTTCCATGTTAAGTTGAGTGGTTAAAGGTGGGGTAGGTAAGTTTGAGAAACCGGCTCGAGATACACTTTTTGTTATATTCCATGGAATGCTCTTAACATCCCGATAGCAATGAATATCTTAAGTGCTTTGACAAAAAATCCATAAAAAAATGTCATCTGTGGAAGCCGTAGTACTGTAAAAAGCACGACCAATCATCTGAGCCGGCCCGGCTAAAATAACTGGATGGCCTACCTGTCTGTCAGCCTTCCATCTGTGCACAAACTTATCTCGTGCCCTCATTGGTCATGTGCGCGTTCGTGTGTGTTGGAGGAGGGGCTCTATAAGGAAGTGGCAGATTTTTTCCGGCTGTGTATTTTCAAATTCTAGCGATCTCGAGCCGGTTTCTCAAACTTACCTACCCTACCTTTAATGTTCAATAATAAAATGGTTTCAATGTATTGAACTCAACAAGTAATTTATATTTTAGAGGTACAGTGAAAGCAGAAAAAGGGCAAAACTGAGCACCACAATTTTTCCACACCTTCCTAAACATTCTGCTTCTTTCTGTAGCTGGTGTGGATTGAGACGCCCACCAATCCCACCATGAAGGTTGTGGACATCAAGGCCTGTTCTGATTTGGCCCATGAGTTCAACAAAGACATAGTGGTGGTCGTGGACAACACCTTTATGTCTGCCTACTTCCAGGTGAGAGTGACAGATGTACACTTCATGCTCGATTGATTTCTAAACAGCAGTTTAATAGCTTCCGGCTCATGTCGAAACAAGTCCTTAATTAGTAGTTCTTTGAATCTTTATTCTTCCCCTTATTATTATTTCACCAATACTTTGGCTCTCCATAACTTCAGCTTACTTTCAGCTACAGAAACCATTCAAATATTAAACTATTCAGCCTTTTCAGGAATCGATGGGAAACCTTCAACTTTTTAAAAATATCTTATACTTTTTTTAACATGGAAGTCAATGGGAGGAGCCTTCAAATCCTCTTTAACTACACCTTACGCCAAATGCTTCTCCTTCCACATACTTTCAGCTAGAGACTTCATTCTGTTGGGTTCAGAATTCCAGAAAAGACAGACAACTTCTCAGTTTAACTATTTATTGTAAAGAGAGCAAAAGATATATATGACTTGGCCAATGACTCATCACGTCTTTGGGAATCACAGGCAGCAAAGCTGTAATCTGTAACCACCAAATCCGTCAAGAGCCTAGAACCTCGTGCGACAATACATTTTATTACACAGGGCGTTGCCCGTACATTTATGATTGGTCAAGACTAGCTGAAGAGATACCATGGTTTAGACTTGGTTCTCTTTGGTTGGTGCGCAGACTCGGATAGAGTCTCTTGGCAACACGACCTTCCAATCAGCATTCGGCCGGCCTTTGGAAGTCCCTCCCTACTCTGGCACCATCATACTAATTTGTTTTCTCTAATGTTTCTTCAGATATAGCGGGAAACCAAAATGTTGCTTCCTAGCTTTGCGGGGGAGCGCGGCTCCCATACAAAGTCAAGGCCGGTGCGATGTGCTGTTCTGACTACCTCTTTGTGTTCTCTCAGTCTCTGCACTCCACCTTGCTACTTTCAATATTGCAAGCTAAACACTTTCTCATGTAACTTTTCCCTTTGTTCCTGTCCTCCCCATCAAAACTTGGGGGGGGTGATTGAGTCTATTTATTCCGAAGTCACAGCCACATAAATGAGCACAATAAGCTTATAATGTAATAATAAGAATCAGTCTTTCTAATGTTATATAAAAATAGACTCCACAAATCCCTCCTTTCACACCTTTTAAGGTGTGAATCTAATCTACATCTATTTTTCTTTTCACTGCGTCTCTGGTGTAATTTATGAATCTCTGCTGGTTATACTAGCTATAGCTCACCCCATCCACATCCTTGTTGGTTGTGGGACAGAGGAATATTACTTCAAAACCTGCTGATATTTGGTTTCTATCTTTAAACTCATCAGGAGGCACCCTGTCTAGCTTAAAAACTCCCTCCTGGGACCATTTAGTTCTGCTGTCTGTGGGGTGTTCTGCGAGTATGGTTAATTTAAGATTGAGTTACAGCCCTTTGATTGTTCATTAGATATTCTAGTACCATTTCATACTTTCAGATGTCAAACACATGCTCTTTCATTTACACTTTTCGCTTAAAATCTCACATTCTCTTCATCTTAATTTTCTGTTTAAACCACATGTATGTCTTTTCTTATCTCTGTAAATTATAAATGGTGTGCTTATTATTTCTAATGTTAATGTTTTCTAAATTAATTGTAGACCTCCTATTTGTCCAGTGCAGCTTCAGAATCTTAATACTTGGACTGTGCCAACAAAATAAAACTTCAACATCTTTAGGTGAACTAAATTACATATTTCAATAGCTCTGAATTTCTGACAAGCATCTGTGTTATTCTTAAATCAAATCCTTGAAATCCTATTTAAAATCTAAATATAATAATGAACTACTCATGTTTCTGGTAAAGAAACACACTAATGTTATGGATTCAAAAACAACTAAAATCATGATACTGTCAAAGTGAATGATTTCCTTGGTGATACTGCTTCTACCTGTCACTGCTTAGATATTATCAAGCTGAAAAAATGAATACAGAATTCCAACATACTGTCATCAAATGTCTTTCTATTATGAATTTAAATTGCCCTTGTGAAACTAGTCTTGTGTTAATTTCTATCCCCATAATGACCTAAAAAATAAAGTCTATGGCTTTAACTTCTAATTATTTACCAGGCTAGAGGCAGGATGTTGTCTCAGTTAAATTCCTTCTCATTACATTACTATGTTTTAGCTTAACTTAACTGTAATATGTTCGTTCTACATTTCAAACCCCACTTACTCTAATATCTGTTAAAAAAATCCACATTACAAAATTGTTTCATTATCACAGGTCAACTTCTTTGATATTCCCATTCTGGACTTGCATCTCTCACAGTAGCCCCTTGGCCACTGCTTCTGCATCTGTGTTACCTGTTATAATTCAATCAATATTTAGAAACATGTCAACATTCATCAAACAGTATCTTATAGACATGGAGCAGGTTAATTCTAAAACTGTCAATCAATGGTCAGATTGAACATCCGAGTTGGGGCGGCAGGTTTCTTTCAGTCCCTAAATGAAAAATGTAGATTGTGAATTTGACAGCCATGTTGATGTTGATATTATACATACACTCCCCCTTTTTACACATGAACTCATGTGTAACAACATCCTGTATGGGAAGAAAACCTTCAGGTAATCATTGATTATAAGAAAATACCAAACATTATTCACAAATTTACATCCATTATTTTCCACAGTAAACACTCCAGTGAAAAGAAGTGTTTCTCTCCATCTTTCAGTCCTAAAATAAACAGAATCTTCAGATTTTTGTTTGAGCTTCACATTTTGCAAACCGCCGCTGCCTGTGGGAGTAAAATATCATCAAGTAGATTAGAAACGGGTCACATGTGCGGTTTTCCAATTTTATGGAATTTTAGGAAACCTCTCTTGTAAGGTCAAGTTTGGTCAGGTTCACCCCTGTCATTGACAGTGCTTTTCTCAAGTAACACTATCAGTCAGGGTCAAAGGTCATTTGGTCTCAGTCTTTTTGGCCATGTGTCGTGCTCTGCAGAGACTTTGATATTTCAGCATAGGCCAGTATCCTTTGTCTACAAAAATCTGTCATATATGGAGCGCCATCATTTATTAATTCCCGATTACAACTATAATTTTCAAGATATCTCTAACTTTTCATTGGGACAGCTGTTTCCCACATTTCCTGAAATTTGTTAGCCAAAAATGTAACTTCCTTATAGTACTACTACTGCAGTTTATTAACACCTAATCTATATTAAAATGTCTAATAGATCTATTTCAGAAACTTGTGCACATAATTATTTTCTTGAGTCAAAACATTATTAGGACAGGGTTTCCCACACATAGACTATACTTGGGCGGGCCGCCCAGGTATATTAACGGCCGCCCAAGTATATTTCGCGACCCATTTAGTTTTTTTTTCAATCATTTTAATTTTTTTTCCGTCCACGATCACGACGCCATCTGCGATTGATTTACTTGTGGACAATGATCCCTCGCTCTACACCTCCTGTACCCAGGTCCGGACTGGCCATCGGGAGGACCGGGGGGTTTCCCGATGGCCAGGCCTGTTAAGTGGCCTGCCTCACACAGGGTGACTGGCTGTCTACATGACGTGGCCTGCCGACATGGCCACTGTCATACAGATCATAAATCAAAGCCCTCGATTGGTCTCTGTGTGTCATTCAAGCTCGGGATAACCTCAGCTCAGGTGAGGTTAAGGACTCTCTGAGTGTTTAGATAGTTAACTTAGTCTAAGTCTAAGTTCTCAGTGGGTCTCAAACTGTTTGGTCACCATTTATGTAAACACATATTTCCATTTGAGGGGGTAGTGATTAGTAAAATATGCATGAATAAAAAATAAAAAAGTTAAGTAGGTGAAAAAAGGTAAGATACACTTTTACAACTTGTTGAGAGCTACAACTAGTCTTTGCTGCTGCCTCAAAGAGGAGTCTATTTTTATATAACATTAGAAAGACTGATTTTTATTATTACATTATGAGCTTATTGTGCTCATTTATGTGGCTGTGACTTTGGAATAAATAGACTCCATCACCCCCCCCAAGTTTTGATGGGGAGGACAGGAACAAAGGGAAAAGTTACATGAGAAAGTGTTTAGCTTGCAATATTGAAAGTAGCAAGGTGGAGTGCAGAGACTGAGAGAACACAAAGAGGTAGTCAGAACAGCACATCGCACCGGCCTTGACTTTGTATGGGAGCCGCGCTCCCACGCAAAGCTAGGAAGCAACATTATGGTTTCCCGCTATATCTGAAGAAACGTTAGAGAAAACAAATTAGTATGATGGTGCCAGAGTAGGGAGGGACTTCCACAGGCCGGCCGAATGCTGATTGGAAGGTCGTGATGCCAAGAGGAGGGACACACACGCACACACAACACAACCACACACTCTCTCTCTCGCTCTCTCTCTCTCTCTCTCTCTCTCTCTCTCTCTCTCTCTCTCTCTCTCTCTCTCTCTCTCTCTCTTCTACACCTCACACTCTCCAAAACTTCAAGTTTTCAACAAAGTCATTGCAATGCATTTGAGCTGTAACAATTTGATTCAAATCATTTCACTTTTCTGCATTTCTCCGCTAAGTTCAGCAACACACTTACTTGGTCTCTGTAGCTACAAGCAGCTACCATTCAGTTAATAACATATCCAGCTTTTTCTGCATTTTCAGCTAAATTCAGCCACAAATGTTCACAGTTTACAGCATTCACACGCATTTTCTGCAGGAAATGCATTTTCTAGTTAACTCATGTGATTGTCTTGTGTATTCTCAGCGCCCCCTGGCTTTCGGAGCGGATATCTGCATGTATTCAGCTACCAAATACATGAACGGTAGGTTCTGTACATTTACTTATTTCACTAGCATAAGATTTCTTTCAAATGTGATATAATCCAAATATTAAAAACACTAAAGTAATTCATCAGTCTGCATGGTTATGTTTCAAAATGAGGAATGGGAATGATCTGCAGTCAGTAGTTTTCACCGGCAAACAGCTCATTTGTAAAGCTTCTAGGACATGATAAGACTTGATCTACCTCAATATTTTTTATTCAAGGAATTGTTTTGTATAAATATATTTGATATAATAAAATAATCTGTTAACATTCATAGACGGGCATAGCTCAAACATGCACACATACACATTCATATAAAAGTAATTTTTTTTTCTTTCTTTTCATTTGAAAGGGCACAGTGACGTGGTAATGGGTCTGGCCTCAACAAACCGGGATGACCTGTTTGAGCGACTGAGTTATCTGCAAAATGGTGAGTCGAAAGAACAATATAGAAAACTACTTAAGCAGTCTGCATTGACTAAATGCAGAATTTAATGTTGGTTAACATATCCTGTTTTTACATAATGTCAGTTAACTGACAATGGCGTGGCTTCCTTCCTTGTTTATCTATCAAGCCACTAGACGCCTTAAACAGACATGTTTGAACTAGTTTTCTTCCTTTATATTACTTACAGTTTGAAGATATGCTTGGCCTCCCATGGTTTGGATGGTATTAAGTGATGTGTTTGCTCAAAATAAAATAACAAACTTTTACATGTGCAACAAAGAAAAGAGGCCTTTACAATATTCAAAACAAATAAGCAAAAATAAAATAAAAAACAACTTGTGTATTATTTCTTTCTTGATAATGCTTATATAACTTAATAACTTAAAGGGTAATTATACGGTTAAAAACTGTTCCTTGACAGCGTCTTTCTAGCAGGTTGCCCATCACTGTCACTTTAGAGGAGGCGCCGTGGGAATTGTAGTCTTTTATAGTGTGTTGACTACAGACGTCAAAATTAAGTGGCCTTTCTTATCAAAACAAAATACTGGCTCTAACAGACAAGACTGACTGCTTTAGGTATACATAACAATAGAAGAGCGCAATAAAGTCATTTAACAGAAAGTCAGCAAATACCTTGCAAAGTGATTTCTGGGCATCAAAGAAGAAGCCAAATATTTACTGGCTCTGGTGTTACCACTTTTATATCTGAAAATGAAATGTAAATTCTGGGCACAGACCTCAGAAAGTTTTAGATTAATAAATGCAGCTCATATCCTGCTGTGCCACAGTATTTGGTTGACTGGTTATTTCAACCTGACCTACATTAATTCACTAAATAACCAACATATACCCCAGAGTATAATGTGCTGCACCAATTAAAAAGCTTTTCAGAAGGAGGTATTGTTTATGCTTTTGTTGTTTGCCTGATCTGGGTTTTGGGAAGCTTTGTGACCTCATTCTCTCCCCACCCATGTGGTCATGCTTCAGCACTGGGATGTGTACCGTCTCCCTTTGACTGCTTCCTGTGTAACCGTGGACTGAAGACACTTCACCTGCGCATGGAGTGCCACTTTAAGAACGGCATGGCTGCTGCCAAGTTCCTGGAGGCAGATCCCAGGGTGGAGAAAGTCATTTTCCCAGGTAAACTGTCACTAATGTAGCAAACAAGTGTGAAATACAACCTCCCTACCAAACCGGATATTTGCAAAGGTGTGGCCGTTGTCGCTACCTAATTGTTTACTAATGTATGTAGATATAAGACTTGTTGCTAAATCGTTACAAACTTGGGCACAGGGGCAAATGCTCAATTTTTCTCATAAGCAACTCTGCTGACAAATATTAACATGTTTTGTCTTTTTTATGTAAGGATAATGGATTCTTCATCACCCCTACCTCTAATTGCTTTCTGATTGTGATACTAGCACGAAACACATACAAACCTTTGATTTTGGTATGTAAGGTTTGCTAATCATTCCAGCTGGCTGCCGGATGTTATTAACTCCTCGCCTCCCATTAACCCTTGCATTTTGGTGTTTTTTTATCATTTCCTTCTATGACTTCTACAACTACAACCTACATCTTCACCTGTAGCTGCTTGAATAGCAGTGTGAAACAAAGGAGGAGTAAACATTCAAGGGTTAGAACAAACTAGAAGAGGATGTTTAGAATAAATATGGTCTGTAACTCAAATTCAAAGAAGCTCTGAACTGCTTGCATGGATATTCAGAAATAACAATGCAAATGAACAGTGTGTTTAAACCCGTTACACCAACTTTTTCCATATTTAAGTGAGGAAGAAACATCTTATAGGCATCACCTGACTGTTTGTAACTGTCCCTCTACATAGGCCTGTCCTCTCACCCCCAGCATGAAGTGGTGAAGAAACAATGCACCGGGTGTCCGGGGATGATCACCTTCTACATTAAGGGGAAACTGGAGCACGCCAGCGCCTTCCTCAGTAACCTCAAGGTCATTTGACAGTTAATTTTTTTTATTCACTATCGGCTGCTCAGTTTTGTGTGTTGTAGAAAGGCAATACTGTGAAGTGACTTTTTAAAAATGACTTTAATAGATTCCCAGACTGGTGAAACAACATTTAAACCACAGCTACAAGGGTGCCTTAGCAAAACACTGAAGTCCTACTTGCAGATTTGTCTTGCAGCTGCTGAGGTGAAACAGTCATTACAATGTTTCACTCATAAAAGGGTGCTATAAACATGATGTTGCAATTTGCACATTAAGGGCTGCCATAAAACTGCATCTAAATAATGTTTTTGAGTACATCCCAAAAATCATAAAATGTGTTCACCTTGGCCAAGTCCTCACTAAATGGATTGCTTAAACAGCATCTTAAAAATAATGAAATGTAAGGTAATCATCAGTCCTCAGCTCATGTTCTCACAGGAAGACAAGATTGAAGTGTGTTGACATTTTTCAACGTTAGCAAAACATATGACCATGGTTTGGTAACTTTCTGTAGTCGGTTACTTATCTTTTGTCTGACCTATGTTTTAATTCCTTCTTCTCCTTGTTTTAGTTGTTTGCCATAGCTGAGAGTCTTGGTGGATATGAAAGTTTAGCAGAACATCCGTAAGTATGAATTTTCCAAATAAACATTTCATACATATTTGTAAAATGTTTGGTATTTGACAGCACTAAAATGCAGACTGTGTTTCGAAAACAAGTGACAGGAACCGCAATACAGTGAAAAACTTTACAAAACTGAAACTTTGAGCAACTGTAACCCAAGAAAGATGTAATGTGACTAGAGCACCACAAGGGGGCAGCAGATATCAAGGAAAAATAATCCATATATCTATCTCTGTAACCGATTTTAATTGGGATGTCTTTGTCTGTGCTGTAATCCAATCTAACAAAAACGGGTTAGTTATGGCTCATATCTATGTGGCACTGTCTTCTCTTCTATCATAATTTAGGGCGATTATGACCCATGCATCAGTGCCAGAAAACGAGAGGACTGCCCTGGGGATCAGTGACACGCTCATCCGGCTCTCTGTGGGCCTGGAGAATGAGGCGGACATCATCCAAGACCTGGAGCAGGCCCTGGCTGCTGCTGTGAGTAACATCCAACACCAGAGTACCAGAAAGCCGTTAAAAGGATGGCGCCACAGTTGTGGGAGGGTTTTTATCATATTCTGCTCCCTAAATAAGTGATAGCACACTAACTTGTTCTTCAGATAATGAAAGCGAGAGCACATGTCTTTTGAGTTTGATACAGTGAAACCAAAGAACAGCCAAGATGATTAAGAAGTGTTTTGGCTCGTTTTGCAGTGAAAAAAAAAGGCGTCTTGGTTTGAATAATGTGTTGATGCCTTTTCCATAAAACTAATGAAGGAAAAAATACCCATTTCAAGGTGAGATAGGGCCATTTTTTACTTTGATTATGGCTTATTTATGTATGGCTTCTTCAAAGCATTAGGCTGTCATCCCTTGGTCATGTTCTTTTCTGTGAACTGACGAAAAAAACAGACGTCAGAGGGTCAATGATTGACAAGAGTGAACTGTTGAGTTGCTTCATCTTCCACTGCTACTGATAAAAAAAATGTGTGCTTACACCCACCAGATAACCTAAATATGTGTACTTATGTTGGTCCATTCATAAAGTAGGAAAATCTAACAGAATAGAAAATACTTCTGAAGCTTCTTTATTTATTTAAAAAAAATAATGAAATGCGTTGCAACAATAATAATAAGAGGTTTCACAAAACACCTGGCATATTTTGATTTCTGGGACACTAACATTCAGTTAATTCTCATCACTTGTAAGAACTGGATTAAGACTGTAAGCAGAGGAAAAACTCCATAAGAGCATTATGGGTACTGCAATTTCAAAAACATATAGCATGATTATCTAACAAATAGGACAGATAATACAATTGGAAATCAAAAAAACCTTTAATATCAACCTTTTTTCCTCAATTATTTTTTACATTAAGGCAAACAGTCTTAAAAGTGATGGCATGATGATGGCAGGGAGTGTTAAGGGTCTTGTCTGAGGGGGGGGGGGGGCTCATGGTGTCAGAAAACCTGTGCCGTACATAAATGTATTTCTATAAAAAAATCGAATTGCTTTCAAGCAATGTATTTGCAAATGTTGCCACCAAAAAAGTGCCCAAAACATGTATGGGTATTTGATGAACCACTGTCTCTTTACTTAACCAAATCTCACTTCCTACGCTGAGCTTTATGGTGTGAATGCTGTGAAAGAGATCCAGTTGCCACACGTGTGGTATGTAAATGATTAACAAGGCTAAATGCACCCGTTACAAGTACAAGGTTATATCTAATCTCAGAGCTCTGTGGACAAACACAATAATAATAAATATAATTGCTGGTGCATTATATTTGAAAGGAAATGGACATATTTCAAGAAAACATTTAGTTGACTATCTAATTTCGAACATCTAAGAAACTGTTCCCTTATGGAGTTGGAACCAAGCAAGCTGCTACTTAAAAAAAACTCTGTATTTGACCCGTGTAGTGCAGAATAGGCCACGTCTGTTAAAACAAAGACAGATCAGGCCTGGAGAAGAAAGGGGCAATTATCTTGGGGATTATTTAGGGAGAGCCAGGACAGGAAGAGTTGCAGACCAGGATTGAGTTAGGTATGCAGTGGTTGCATACTGTGAACTTTGTCGAGGGCTGTGGTGTATTCATCCATCCCAAGTCACTCTTTATGTTCCCCTCTGAAAGTGTTATATCTTTAAAAAATACATGCAGTCGACAATATTTTAGTTGTTGAAAAATACCAAAGTATTTCTGCTTTGTAGGCCAACAGATGGGTTATCAGAAGTACTCCAATGTGCCCAGAATCCATTCCCACATTTATGGCTCAGTTTTAGCATTTCTCCGTGTACCGGTACATTTGGCCCTCAGATCTGGCTAGATCCAGTTCAGACATCTGCATTTTTATCACTTTCTTTCCACTCGATGAATGGTGTTTACATTTGAGGTTTTATTGTACCTCTGTCTTTCTTTCTGTCCTGGTAGCTGAGCTTTCATTACATTCACAGTATAAGATTATTTGTTTTGTGTTTTTGTACTGTATCCATAGATGCATAAAGAGAAACCTTTTATTGGATTTAAACTTCATTAAACAAGCTCTATTGTGCTGCTTTTTGAGCGATAACAACTGACTGGCTGCATTACTATGAAATGTAAGTTTACTAAAACCTTTTTCTGCCCCGTCATGCAGCCGTATCCTGCATGGCGGGCTGCACCTCCTCTCCAGGATTCAGATAATGTCTCTGAATCGCTTTGCTGATCATCCGCAGCAAATGGAAATGAAATGGAGACAAATATCTCCTAATGACGGTGTGGTTCGGGGTAAAAGGCACCTCTGATGGGTGAATCGTTTAATTGTATGAGACGGCAGGTCAGATTGGGACAGGCGGTTACATATCCGGTCAATCACCCTCATCCCAGGGTTAGTTTTGAATGACAAACTTTGCTGTTGGTTAACCATTTTGAGCTCTACCAAAGGTCAATGCCATTTGCAGCATTGTTGCTGTGAAATGCTGGGTCTGTGGTGTTTTATTGACATGTTTTCTCTGGGGTGGGCCCCTCAGTTAATCTGCGTTTGACTTGTCTTTATCGGAGACGCTTTAGCATACTGACTCAGCACTTTGAGCGTAAAGAGGATAATTGACTGTCTTTTTTCTTCAAGAAAGTGTTTGTCATTTCCGCAAAAAATGTAGGTTATCAACTGGAACCTCTTGTCTGTTTGCTGCTTCCTGACTGTACAGATTATTGATTTCACTGGTCATTCTTTTTCTTTTCCTGTTGTCTTTTAATAGCATCCAAAGAAGAAGTGAAATGTCTTCAGGGATCCTCGAGGCTGAGGTTGAAATCAGTCAGTCGAGATGAAGACCTGAAGTATCAAATCATCGCAGATCAATGCTTGGTACCTCAATTCAGCGCACAAATGGCAGAGATTCAACATCAGGGAACAAGTTGTGCCCTCTGTGAATAATTAACCAGTGAATTGTTTAAATGCCTCTTTCTAGAACATCAGTTTTAATCCTGTTTACCTTATGCTGAGTTTGCTTTGTTTCCTTGTTTTTATTATTCAGTCAAAAGTGTTTAGTATGACTTACTGCAGGAAAACCCAATTTTCTTTAAAAGAAAAGGTCTGCAATGCTTGATGAAGGTGCTATTTTGTAGGGAACACAAATGTTTTGAAAAAATAAGAAAGGTTCAATGAATTCTTCTGGCGAAAACTTAAAAAGCCTTTAATCGAATGTCTCTTAGACCCCACTTAGAAGCACAAACCGCTTTCATCAGAGTGTTTACAGCTTAAAAGCCACTCTATTTTTAGAATTTGACCATGAAAAAGCCTAATGATAAATGAATAAAGGATTTTTAACATTTTGCCCAAAGAGTGCCTTCGACCTTTTTTTTTTTTTTAAACTGTAGTTTCTGTATAATCTCGCTGTAAACGTTGTGTTCAGGTTTGCAGTCTCAAAACGTCACTGCCCTTAGTACTGCAGCTGTTATGTGTATTCATAATTCTAGGAGCCTTAGTGTCTTCTGTAAAAGATTACATTTAGACAATAATAATATCTTATTAGACTAACCAGACTAATGCAAGCGAAGCCAACGCCTCCATCTATTGGTGAAAAGTCAGACAGATTTTCTTTAATATTATATATAATATAGCTCAAATATTTAAGGCTCTTCAAAACCATTACAATCCCCAAAAGAACAAAAGAAAAACTCCATTCAAAAAGAATGGATAAAAGTGTGTGCATTTGATTCCAGAATATTGATATGATTGATATTATGCTTAATGTAGAGTCTTCCTCGTAAAGATGAGAGGAGTCCTATTCCTCATGTTTGAGACTAATCAGGCTATTAGCCAATAAATTAGGTATGTTTGGTAAGCATATGCCTTATTTGGAGCATCATTTCCCAGCAATGATGATGTTGAAGGTTTTCATAGTAACAACTGAAGGCTGCTACAGGAGTATTCCTCCTAATGTTCCTGATGAATAATTGTTACTGAAACGGTAGATGAGTGCTCTTGAACTCAAGTCAACGTGTTTGGGCTAATGAACGAAGCAACATTCCCCCCCCCCCCCCCCCCAAGGGCAGAACATGCGTATTTCACTCAGCCACTCCCACCGTCTGCACTCCTGTAGTCACATGTTGCATCACTGCTCAAGTATTCACCTCATTTGGAACAAACCACTCACAATCAATGTCATTTATGTAACCGACAAATCCATTAAAATCAGTTTGCAGTAGAAGTCTCTGCGTCTCTCACTTCCTCTCAACCATTCCATTTACAAACTCGAAGCAGTGTTATTGTGAGTTCAGGATCAGTAATCGTAGACAGTCGATAAGCCACGTCTAATTTAGTCCAGGATAGTGGTGGGCTGCACACTGCGGGGTCTTGGATTATGGATCAACAGAGCAAGTTGTCCTACTAATGACCCGACTATCAATAACATTTCCACCAGGATGCTCGGATCAATTATAATCTTTAAAAGGTTTTGGTTGACTGGAACTTTAATTTATTGTAACTTACGAGCATGTAATGGGTTTTATACCTCCAAGGTGCTTCTGATCAGCCATTAGGGTTTTGTCTAAGCCATGCTGCTACCTTTTTAATCTCTGCCAAAGGCTGATTTGATCATTTAGCCGCCACAAACTCTGCCCCTGAAGACTTAATGAAACCTGGCACGTCCAGTTAGCTTGTGTATATTCAGGGGGAAGTGGTGGAACAAATGGAAACAGGGCTGAGGGAAGGCCCAGCATTTAAAGTAGAGGTGCTACTGAGGTGTTTGAAATTCAGCTCTCCTCTCACCCGGATTTGACTCATGTGGAGGGATCTTGTCGGTGAGTGGTTTAACTTTCTTTAAAAGCGTCATCATTCAGTGCAGGTTTGTTGATCAGCTCTCTTCAGTCAGCTGGGGACTGTTTTACTCCATCAGATGAGTCTCAAACATGAATAAAAGTCTGACGATGCGACCAAGTGGAGACAGTGTGTCTGCGTGGGCTTTAGATGTTTATTTTACAAATATGACTGTACTACATTCAGTGCTTCATAATGTCGGCTATCATTCGTTAAAACAACAAAATGTGCGGCTTAGGTCTCGAATATAAACATAATGTGGCTGTTTTTATTCCTAATGTGTGATTTCAATCTGTTGCATCACTGATAAAAAAAGAAGCCACCCACTTGCATTTACTGGAGGCCGTCTGCCCTCCATCACATCTAAAGTCTTAGATGACATTAAGTAAGCAAATATGTAGATAAGAGCTTTAGAGCTTGGAAGGCGTCTGGCTGTGTGACAGTGGCAAAAAGGGGTTTGAAATATTGACTTGGGTTACCAGAAATCCTGTGAAGTGACAAACTGTAAACAGCATGGTCATGTTAGTCACACTAGGGAGTCTTTGAGAACTACAGCAATTCACAAAAACATACCAAAGACATGAATGAAGCCAAAGATGTCCAGCTTTCTCTTTTTTTCTCATCAAAGTGAAACGATTCCTTTGGCTTGAAGGTCTAGCACTTCAACAAATGAAAAAGGGCTGATGTTGTCTACTTACAGCCTTACCTTGCAATCTTAGAGAATGTTCTGGCTGCCAACAAAAGTCTATTATTTAAATCATCAGTTGAGAAGCATTCAGGCAACTTCCGTTTGCCAGTTTCATCACAGCATCTTTCTTTCTAGCTGTGTCTTTAGACGCGTAGAAACTCAGATAACAGGAGCCTATAATAACTTTTACAAAGCAAGCCTTGTTTGCGATGGAAACATGGCAGCGACTGAATTGACTCAAAATATCCTGATTAAAGTTTTTTTGTACTTACTGACTAATGTTCCGATATCTGTTTTGTCATTATTTGACCATACCAAAAGTCAGCTCAAAATATTATTGTTTTGCTGCACTAACCAATAAACAGGGATTACTAGGAAACAGTCATTAAGTGGTATAGATCAGCGGTTTTCAAAGTGTGAGGCGCGCCTCCCCTGGGGGGCGCCAGAGAGCTTCAGGGGAGGCGCAGCGTGAGAAAAAATAATAACGAGAAAAAGACGAGTAAAGTGACATTTGCACACTTTTGCCTGTCTGTGGAGACCGAGTTCCCCCACCTCGCCAAAAAGGCTGTTAAAGTGCTCACTCCCTTCACCTCCACCTACCTGTGTGAGTGCGGGTTTTCCGCATTGACTCTGATCAAAGGAAGTGCCGGTCAAGGCTGCAGCCAGAGGATGATCTGCGTTTATTCCTGTGTGCATCAAAGACGCAGACTCATTGTTCCCACTAAAGTAGGGGTGAGTGTAATAAGGAGATAAAGTTGACGTTCAGTGTGTTGCCGGGAGCATATAAGGATGTATCCACGATGTTGAAAATGTTAAAAATGTTTAAAAGATATGTGTTGAGAACACGGCGTGCGAAAATATACGGGTCGTGCTGCAGCTAGATGTGCCTGTCCTCTGTAAGAAGGTGTCGGCGACTGACATGCAAGGAAGAACGGCTGTCCACAGGCTGTTCCAACTTTAACAACTTTATTAACTTCCAGGGTAGTGAATTGAACATGCTATTGTAATTGGGTGTGTGGTATATTTTCATGCACGGACACGCATGTTCCACAACACACAAACTGAACAACACTCAATTGTACGATCGCTACCAGTGTCCTTGCGATCTTGTTATAACAAGTCAACAAGTGCACGTTATTACTGATGCAATATGGTTGAGACCATTCGGGCTTATTCTAGAGGGGTGCAAGGAATAGTCCAAGTAGTGGAGGAGTTTTATACAATATGTTTAAAACATAAAGATAAAAAGGTTTTAAAAAGTGATTGTTTAATGTTTTAAGGAGGTGACGCTACTCAGCCAATCAAATCGGTGCAGTCAGTGAGTCAGCACAATAGATTCAAACACTCACAGAGACGAGACAAGAGGAGAGAAACAGTCGGAATCATTTCAAATGGCGGAAGGTAGACAGCGAAAACAGAGCATTTAATGACATGTTCTCTTACTGGACCTCTTTGAAATGCAATGTAATAACAACAATAATAATAATAATAATAATAATAGCAATAATAATTGGGAGGGGGGGCGCGGCTGTTCATATGTTCTCTGAGGGGAGGCTCACCTTCCCACACTTTGAAAACCCCTGGTATAGATAAATGAAGTAAAACTTGAAATTATGTCATTTAAATGCTGTTAAAAAACCTTCACTTAGCAAGGTACTTTTATTATGGTTGCTCGCTCAAACTATTTTTGTACCTGGTCTCTAGTCTAAATACCCCACCAGAAGATTAAAGTCGATGGTTTATCGTAGTAAATCTGTATCAGATCAAACATTGGAAGTAAAACATTTGCTTATGAGTCGACAAATGATCCCTGAATCCATAAACTGTCCTACATTTGTTTGCAGGGAGGAGAGACCTGAGATTAAACAGCAACGGTTTGTGCACTCTGTTTTATTATCCATGTAAATTACTGTGGGTAAATGATAAAATAAATAAACCTGTTTCGCAGTTGACTTAAGCCCAATGTTTGATGAGGACCAGTAAAGGGTTTTAACAGCAGTCATAATTACAGATCTGTGTTACCGATATTGAATTGGGCACATTGTCCTTTTTTCTAAAGTAGTAGATTAAATAAGACAACCAAATGTACCAAACAAATATAACTCCAGTCCAGCTGACCTTCAGAGCATCACAGTTCATTAACAGTGCCATGTTATATAGCTGGGTTGCATTGGACGTCCACATTGATGTTCATTTTTACAGCATCTCCGCCACGCCTTGTTTCTTATAAATGTCAGCCGGCTCTCACACTCACGAATACTATAAAACACAGTTTAATCTCACACTTGACAAGGTTTTTACGAAATTGAAATGGACAGGAAATGGCCATAGTTGTTTTCACAGATTACTCTGCAATTGTTTAGAATTATCCTCTTGGTTTGAACCGAGGGTGACCAAGAAAACATCTATTTGAGGAACTGCAAATGAAATAAAAACGATAATTACACGTCTGAAGGGTTTCAGACCCCATTTCTTCTCTCAACCACTCTGTGTTCGAAAGGGAAAGGACATAATTAGACCTGTATTGATTTGTAATTATGTCAATGTTGCTGCTGTTCTGTGAAGACCAGAAAGAGCAGCTTCAGGAGCAGTTGTTGATCTTGTGAGTGGTTAGGTATGTTAACCCATTTATACTTACAACTGAACTGCATTAGAGGTCAGTGATCGAAAAACAAGTTTGGAAATGTTGGTTGTTTCTCTGTGGTTTGACTAACTGTCAGTGGATGTACGCTTAAACACTGCTGTCATTAAATATATTTAAGTGAAGAACGGAAAGGGAATAACCAGTATAATCCAATGTAGCTAAAAAATGGCTGAATTAAATGTTTTAACGCCAAATCTAAAAACAATACCAACTTTCTTTAAGGCACCATTAACTCTTACCAACATTCCACCTTCAAGATTAAATTCAACTGATATGGCCACTGAACAAGCTGATCTTTAATGAATATATATCGTTAGCAGAGGTCTGCATTGTGTTTATGACAACCAGCGTTTAATGTCTGCATCATTTCATTTTAATCGTTTATTTGAACCGGGACAGTGCACATTAATGAACATTTTAAACAAAATAATGCTTTTAAATGTAAATGAGCCGGATTTTAGCTTTGAGCTAGTTTCCATCCGTAGTCCCGTCACATACAACATTTATGAACATAACATTTTATATACATGGCAAACAGAAATACATGATATGCAGAAAGAGCATGAGCAGCATAGCATTTACCACAAGGCAGTGCAATGTAGCAGCTACGACATATAAAATGCAGGAGGAGATAAAAGAGCTACATTACATTACATTGCATTTAGCTGACGCTTTTATCCAAAGCGACTTACAATAAGTGCATTCGACCAACAAGACACAAATTTGAAGAAAACAGAATCATATAAGTACATCAGGTTTCATAGAGCCAAAACATTTAAAGTGCTACTCAACTGGCTTTAGATAAGCCAGTCCTTTGTTAGTATATAAGTGCTTTGTTAGTAATTGTATTGCTCGAAGTGGATTCGAAAGAGATGAGTTTTCAGTCTGCGCCGGAAGATGTGCAAGCTATCTGCTGTCCTGATGTCAATGGGGAGCTCATTCCACCATTTTGGAGCCAGGATAGCAAACCGACGTGTTTTTGCTGATGGGAACTTGGGTCCCCCTCGCAGTGCGGGTGCAGCGAGCCGTTTGGCCGATGCAGAGCGGGGGTGTATTGACT